ACACACCTATCCCTATCCTTCCCTTTCTTTTCTCTCCAAAACCCTCCAAATCCCTCAATCCAAACGAGGCCTTAGTGTTTCCTATGTTTAAAAGGCATGACACTGATGGCCATTCCTATTATGCCCTTCATGATGTTTCCGACACTGTTACAACATGGCTGTGACCGTAGCTTTACCTGATACTGCAATCTAACCATAGAAGTGCCACACTTGAAAATATCTCTACGAAGCAATTACTCTTATTTTTACACACAAACAGTAGAAGATTTCCCTAATTCAATGACAACCAATCACAGGGAAATCACCCTATTGTATCGATGGAAGGTGGAGAGAAAAAATTTACAAATTTTACTTACCAATATAAATACCATCGTAGAAATTTTGAGTGGCACTTGTTGCTCCACAGTCTCTAATATGATGATTCATTTTAGAACTCGAACCATGAACAGAATAAGGTGGCTCTGATTCTTATGAAATTTCAGTAGGTTCAGCAACATAGCAATCCTTAGCCAACTCTGCTTCACCAATATGTCGGCTTGCAAAGGGAGAAGTTTCACGGGAAACATTTGGCGCAACATTACTTTCTTCATGCACAGCATTGAACAAACTTCCGGTTGAAGTATGTCTTGTACTGTTTGTTTCACCGGTGCTTACTTCCATCACTGATGAAGCATTACTGATATCAAAAAATGCTGTAAGCAAAGCATTAAGGGTACAGAAAAGATTCATTTCAAAAATTCATTTCCTCCTTGACCAATGTAGCTGACCCTCTTTCTCCTCCAACAAAACCTGAAGTTGTGCCAATTTAAGATTAAGTTGTTTAATGTCTCCTTTAAGACAGATAATGTTGCCACCAGCTACTTCCAGACGTAGAAAAAGCTTAGCCCCAAGCAAGCACAATGGCAGGACTTCCTAGCGGAGTTCACTTATCATTTTGAGTACAAGCCGGGCAAGGCCAATGTTGTGGCGGATGCGCTTAGTCGCAAAGTCGAGCTCGCAGCCATTAGTCGGCCCCAGCACCCTCTTGTGAGCGGATCAAGGAGGGGTTGCAGCATGACCCTCTAGCCAAGAGCCTTATTCAGCTGGCTAAGGAAAGGAAGACTCGACGCTTTTGGCTAAGGGATGATTTACTTCTCACTACAGGGGACCGATTCTTTGTGCCCAGGTGGGGCAACTTACGAAAGGAGTTGATACGGGAGTGCCATGACACCAAATGGGGTGGTCACCTAGGTATGCGGCGCACACTAGCACTCCTAGAAGATTCATATTATTGGCCTCGGATGCGCGATGATGTGGAGACATACGTGAGGACTTGTCATGTGTGCCAACAAGACAAGATTGAGCAACAGCATCCCGCAGGCCTACTGGAGCCATTGCCTATTCCAGAGAGACCATGGGAGAGTGTCTCTATGGATTTCATTACTTGCTTGCCCAAGTCAGAAGGTTGTGGGAGTATTATAGTGGTGGTAGATCGGTTCAGCAAGTATGCCACCTTCATACCCGCACCAGCAGATTGCACAGCATAGAGGGCAGCAGAGTTGTTTGTTGACCATGTGGTCAAGCTTTGAGGAGTTCCACAGAATATTGTCAGTGACAGAGACCCGCGCTTCACGGGCAGATTTTGGACGGGGCTCTTCAAGAAGATGGGGACGGATCTCAACTTCTCTACGACTTTCCACCCTCAGTCAGATGGGCAGACAGAACGCATCAATGCTCTCCTGGAGCTATATTTGTGGCACTATGTAAGTGCCAACCAGCGAGATTGGGCCAAACTCCTTGGGGTGGCACAGTTTTCTTACAACTTGCAGCGGAGTGAGGCTACCAATCACAGTCCATTTGAGTTTGTTACCGAACGGCAGCCTATGACACCCAACGCCATTGCTTCAACTTTCGATGGTAAAAATCTAGAGGCCTACAAGTTTGCCAAGAGGTGGCACGAGCAGTCCGACTTAGCTAGGGCGTACCTTGACAAGGCGACAAAGAAGATGAAAAAGTGGGCCGACACTAAACGAAGGTGGGTAGAGTACATAGTGGGAGACCAGGTGATGGTTAAGCTACTACCCCAACAGTTCAAGTCCTTCTGGAGCGTGCATAAGGGGTTAATAAGGAAGTATGAGGGCCCATTCCCCATTGTCAAACGGGTGGGTAAGGTCTCCTATATGGTGGAGCTTCCACCCAAGTTAAAGATACATCCAGTCTTCCATATCAGCATGCTCAAGCCTTATCATGAAGACACGGAAGACCTTACTCGGGGCATATCACAGAGGGCACCCACGACAATTGTCACATCCTTCTACAAGGAAGTTGATTGCATCCTTACGGATCGTGTGATGAGCAGGAGAGGCGTGCCCAAGTATAAGGAGTATTTAGTGAAATAGAAGAACCTATAAGATAGCGAGGCGAGCTGGGAGCATGAGGATACACTTTGGCAGTTCACGGAGCATATCCAGCGGTTCAAGCAAGAAGACGCGATAAGGGCGTCGCGAGCTTAGGTGGGGGAGAATGTCACGCCCCGCAACCAAGAGGCTACGCCACGCAGACGCCCAGCAGACAATGATATGGAGCGTGCATGGACCGGAGCAAACTAGACTTTTCTACATAAGTATGGAACTTTCCGGAATTCTCTAGACTAGTGTGGAGTTGTCTAACCTTTTCTGGACTTGTCTAGAGTTGTATAGAATTCTTTAGACTTGTCTTGAACATTGTACATAGTTCTAGAATTGTGTAGATACTTCTTTGGAAGATTCTAGATACTCAATCTAGGCCACACATTTGTATAGATCTTGAATGTTCTTGTAAGGGCCAAAGGCCTATAAATAGGAGGTGGGAGTTCTTTTGCTCCTCACCAAGCAACCTTACTTGTAATCTCCTCTCAAGTAATACAAGTGTTCTTACATTCCCAAACTCTTTTGCTCACTTGCCTAACCTCTTCCTACACACCCAAGTAAGCAAAGCACTTGTCTAGCTTTAGTCTTCACTAAGCTAGCACACTCGAGTAGGCTGACTTAGCACTTTAAGGGGACTTGAAAATGTCTAAAGCCACACGTGAACTTGGAAAGGTCCAAGTCCATGACATTAGGCCCTTTTTTCTTTCTGTATGTGGGCCTACCTAGTCTGTCTGTCATGAGATGGTGGGTTGGGGGCCCCAAGGAGGATGAGGTTGTGGGCCCATAAGAAATCGTTCAGCAAGGTGGCCAAGTGGTGGTCCCAGATATCTGGTGATACAACCGAGACATAGTGGGGAAAGTTTTTGGCTTAAATTCAGACACGTGGTTATCTTTTTTAGAGTAGGAGATAGATGGTGGGTCTCGTTTTTATGCTGCAACATGTGGACCATCTGGGGGGCTGGTGAGGATCTGGACCGTTAATTGGTACGTGATAGTGATTATCATAATAAGTTTGATCACGGGGGCACATTGAAGGGCTCGTGCCTTCGGTCTTCGCATTGATAGTGTGTATTTTATAGTTAAATTTGACTCAATTGTTAAGAGTGCAAATTCTTGGCATATTTAAAACAAAATCTCATGTTCAAACTCAATTTTTTGTTTTTTACCATGAACAATTTATATATATTGATGATTATAATTTAATTACCCGTGGATAGGGGAAGATCGTTAAAGTAACGCGCTATCTCATAAGATTGAGATAGGCTCTACAGACTAAGATAAGGACTACGACTAAGATAAGGGTTACAGATTACGATAAGAATTGCAGAATACGATAAGGATTAGGCCAACAGATTATGATAAGGATTAAGGATGACGTGGACGCTACATAACATCCTAACCCAAGTCCTATAAATAGGGAGGGCTAATCGACGTTTGGAGGTAGGCAAAAAATCCTAACTCAATATCTCGATTTCTCCAGAGAGATTATCATTCACACTGACTTGTTCGTCGGAGCTTACTCCACTAGTAACACACCGGTGTTTGTAGGATCACTTTTTCTTCTCTTTATTCAGGAAGTCAGATCAGATCCGGGTTGCGCAGAATCCATCTTCAACAGTTGGCGCCGTCTGTGGGAACTTATTTTTGTTCTCTAAACAAAGCATGGTTCTATTGCGATCTGGTCTGGCTGCTGGCGAGGGCGAAGGGTTGCAGGCTTCTGATGCAGGGACTTCAACGGGGCAACCCCCCGTCGTCCCAAATGATCAGGAACGCGTCGCAGCGTTGGAACAACTGGTGAACCAGTTAGTCCAGCAAAATGCGATGATTCTGCAACGCTTCGCCGCCCCCAACGAGGAGAGAAACAGTGAAGTACCCAATGATGACTCCCGTAGGGTTAACAACGATGTTGAGCTTAGTCAAATAGGGGGTCAACAGAGGAGCCATCACCATCGGTCCCCTGAACGGAATACCACCAGGCTCCGTGGAGATACTTCTAGTTATGTTGGAGACAAGACTGAGGACGCCACTCAGTTCGATCTAAAGTTGCAGGATCTGAAAGCCAAGGTTGACGATGTCATGCAAGCGATGAAAGGGAAGGGCCAAGCTGCAGTGAACGATATGGTACAAAAGACTAACCTAGCTTTTAGCCCAGCTGTTATGAGTTGTCCTCTACCTAGCAAATTCAAGATGCCAACTCTTGAGAGCTTCGATGGGACGCGGGACCCTCTTGACCATTTAGAGACCTACAAAGCTCTTATGTATTTGCAAGCCATACTGGACGAGATTATGTGCAGGGCATTCCCTACCACACTCAAGGGTTGGGCTCGTCTCTGGTTCAATAAATTAAAGCCAAGCTCCATTGAAAACTTTGAAGAGTTGAGCAAACAATTCATAGGACACTTCATCGCTGGGCAGAAGCACAGGAGACCAGCAACACATTTACTTAATGTGAAGCAGCAGAAGGGAGAGTCCCTTCGTGATTACATAAGTCGTTTTAACACTGAAATGCTGCAAGTTGAAGAGGTGGACGACAAGGTTGCCCTCACAGCCTTTATAGGAGGACTATAGACTTCTAAGTTCCTAATTTCCTTATCAAAGGAAGCCCCTACAAGCATGACAGAGTTGATGGTTAGAGCGCGGAAGCACATGAACGCTGACGATGCTATGAATGCACGAAAAAACAAAGATGGTGAAGATAAGAGGTTGGATAAAAAAAGGCCAGCACCTAGCACTAGGGACGAAAGGGAATTGAAGTACAAGAAATTCTCAAACAACCAGGCTGACAGATCGTTTCGCCGCCCAGCGAGCCCAGGCAGGTATAATAACTATACCCCCCTAAATACATCTGTAGAGCAAGTCTTTCTGCAGATTCAAGATGACGCATCATTGAAATGGCCACCAAAGCTAAAAGCTAATCCAACAAAGAGGTCTCGAGATAAATACTGTAGGTTTCACCGGGACCATGGACATAACACAGAGGATTGTTTCGACCTCAAAAACCAGATTGAGAACCTTGTTCATAAAGGTCATTTACGCAAATTCAGAACTAGAAATGGAAAAGGAGGCTCCAACCCAGCCCGGGAGGGCTGAGATGATCGCCCTCCTCAACACCAACCAATAGGTGAGATCAAAGTTATATCGGGTGGCTTCGCTGGTGGTGGTGAGACGAGTTCAGCTCGGAAGGCTCATGCTAGGAGAATTCGGAGTTTTTCAGAGGTGAATGAAGTTGGAATGACAAGTCCTCCAACCAAATTACCTCGAGTTGAGGAGCCGGTCATAACCTTTTCTGAAGAAGATGACAAGGGAATTCACCAGCCCCATGATGACCTTCTGGTAGTTTCCATGGTCGTTGCTAATTTCACTGTTCGACGAATACTAATAGACAATGGTAGCTCAGCTGACATACTATTTCTTAGGGCGTACGAGAAATTAAAAATTGGCCGAGAGAAGCTCCGACCCATGAAGTCACCACCGGTGGGATTTTCAGGCGACAAAGTATATCCACTGGGGGCAGTTACCCTTCCAGTTACTGCAGGAGCCAATCCAAAACAGGTCACTGTAATGGTGGACTTTGTAGTGGTGGACTGCCCATCATCATATAATATTATCCTGGAGAGAACGACATTGAATGCTATGAAAGCAATCACGTCCACTTACCATCTCCTGATGCGTTTCCCAACTGAATATGGTATGGGAGAGATAAGAGGGGACCAAACAATGGCTCGCGAATGTTATGTCGCCTCTCTCAGAAAAATAAAATCGCAAGAGACATTTACGATTGAAGGGCTAGAAGGGAAAGATATACCAGACTTTCATAGAGCGGAACCTACAGAGGAGCTAGAAGAGGTCATCCTTGGTGAGCCCAAGAAAAAAGTGAGTATAGGGTCTTTACTCCCCCCAGGTATCAAAGATGAACTTACTCAATTCCTCAGGAAGAATCAAGACGTATTTGCATGGGTACATGAAGACATGCAGGGTATAGACCCCACTATCATGGAGCACCGCCTAAATGTAAATCCTGACTTCAAACCTGTCAGACAAAAGAGGAGGACTTTTGCTCTAGAAAGGAATCAGGCTATATCAGAAGAAGTGGAAAAGCTCTTAAAAGCCGACTTTATTCAAGAGGTGTACTACCCCGACTGGCTGGCAAATGTGGTCCTAGTGAAGAAGGCAAATGGAAAATGGAGGCTATGTGTGGATTTCACCGACCTTAACAAAGCTTGCCCGAAGGACAGCTTTCCTCTCCCAAGAATCAATATGCTCATTAAGGGAACGGCTGGACACGAACTATTTAGTTTCATGGATGCATATTCTGGATACAACCAGATATCTATGTACACCTCAGATAGAGAAAAAACGGCCTTCATCACTGATAGAGGTTTGTACTGTTACAAAGTAATGCCGTTTGGGCTCAAGAACGCTGGTGCAACATACCAGAGGCTAGTGAATGCAATGTTTAAGCATCAAATTGGTAGAAACATGGAGGTATATGTTGATGACATGTTGGTGAAAAGCTTAAAAGCTGAAGACCGTTTGACTGACCTGCAGGAGACCTTCGAGGTACTTAGGAGTCATAAGATGAAACTCAACCCCAGCAAGTGTGCCTTTGGGGTTTCCTCAGGAAAGTTATTGGGATATATGGTAAGCAGAAGAGGAATTGAGGCCAATCCAGAGAAGATCCGAGCAGTCATTGACATGAGATCGCCAAGATCAACCAAGGATCTACAACGACTAACAAGGAAGATTGCTGCCTTGAGTAGGCTAATCTCTCGGTCAACTGACAGGTGTCTACCTTTCTTTCGTGTGCTAAGGAAGGCTTTTGAATGGACCCCAGAATGTGAGCAGGCATTCAAAGAACTAAAGCAATACCTTAGTTCTCCCCCACTACTGTCTCGAACCATACCGGGAGAGGAACTATACATATACCTTGCAGTCTCCACGACAGCTGTCAGTTCAGCTCTGATACGAGAAGAAGAAGGGGTCCAAAGGCCAGTATACTTCGTGAGCAAAGCACTTAGGGGTGCGGAGGAAAGATATTCAAGGATGGAACAGTTGGCCTTTGCTTTAATTGTGTCTGCCAGGAAACTGAGACCATACTTTCAAGCGCATACGATAGTGGTCCTAACAGATCAACCCCTTCGACAGGTCCTACATAAGCCAGAAAGCTCTGGTCGACTGATGAAGTGGTCAGTAGAGTTAGGGGAGTTCGACATTCAGTATAAGCCAAGAACAGCAGTAAAGGCTCAGGTGTTGGCTGATTTTTTAGCTGAGTTTACCCCTCCAGAAGAGGAGAAACAACCCCAATTTTTGACAGAACCAAGTTTAAGTGAGCAGATGGGCCCAGAAGTAGTCTGAGACTTGTTCGTGGATGGGTCATCTACTGCTCAGGCTAGCGGAGCCGGGCTTGTTCTTGTCTCCCCAAAGGGAGAAAATATACAGTACGCACTTCGGTTTGGTTTCAAAACAACCAACAACGAAGCAGAGTACGAAGCCTTGATAGCAGGATTAAAAGTGGAAAATGCCCTAGGGGTTGAGCAATTAAAGGTGTACACCGACTCCCAACTAGTCGCTGGACAAGTTCAAGCGGAATATGAGGCACGAGACGAGAAGATGAAGAGTTATCTACAAAAGGTGAAGGAATTAAAAAATCACTTCCAAAGATTCTCAATTCATCAAATACCACGAGAAGAGAATGGGAAAGCAGACGCTTTAGCCCGGCTAGCTACTGCATTAGAACCTGAGATCAATAAGAATATACCACTGGAATATTTGGATGAACCATCTATATCTCAGGAGAGACAAATTGAAGTGCAACAAGCGATATTGAGTGTGGAATGGGCAGATCCTATCATCAGATATATCAAGGATGGGGTGCTACCAAAAGACCGAAAGGCTAATATTTGGATGAACCATCTATATCTTAGAACATGATTTAGTTGCACTAAATTAAACTGAAATAAATTTATGTTGGAACTTGCTTAAAATTGGACAATAGAGGTTTTGTAATCGTAGCTTTAAAGCTTGTGTTCCATGCATGTTTTAGTTGAATATCAGTGGTTTAATATGTGCCTAGGACTGAGCTTGAACTTAGAACAAAGTTTTAGAAACACCTTAGAGGCTCTGTAATCACTGGAGCTGGAGAAGATGAAGCTAGAACGGGCAAAAGGCTACTGAAGGGGATTGAGCAGGCTCTAAAAAGCCTTAGAGCCGGCTCAAAGGCAAAGGAGTCGGCTCTATCTTTGTTTGGAGCCGGCTCAATGCTAATGGAGCCGGCTCCAAGTGGAAAATTGAGCAGGCTCAATGTTTAATTTGAGCCTGCTCTCTTTTATTGCGCACATATTTGGTTTTAAGGGGTTGGTTGGCTGTGCAGTGTTTTCTGAAGCCGTTTAAAAGCTACTGTGAGATGTAATTAAATGTTAGGGACTTAAATAAATGTTTAAAACATTTAATACCATAATGGTTTAAGGGTAGGAGTAATGAACAGATCAAATAATGGCTATACGTTGCACTGTTTTTGCTAGGTTTATATAACTGGAACTTGGCAAAGTTTTTATATATAATTCAATTATATATAACCCTATATTGTTACTATGTTATAAGTATGGTAAATTAATTATATTTATCTATACTTAGTTGGATTTAAATTGACATTTAACTTGTTTAATATGTATCAATTTATTGGCTGTTTTGGAGGATTCAAATGCTATGTCTTATTCTAGCTGTTTAAATGATTGGAGCATGATATTTAGGTTCTGTAGTGAATACCTAATATTGATATATGTGTGAATTTATACCAATGCATATACTGGAGGATGGTTGTTGATTATATAGTGTTGTTTTAATAACTATGCTATATGGAGAATTTGTATGTACCGGTATGGGACGGTGACATACTAGGTATGGATTAATCAAGCACTAAATCCTACCTAATTTGGATTAAGGTATGGATTAACCCTATGAGCTAAGTCCATCACCTACTTGTGTCATATTAATCAAATAATTGAATGACTTAATATGGTTTCAGGATGGATTTGCTTTACATTTATCAAACCACTTTACAGATGGTTGATATTTTGTAATAGGAGGACACAGACTTTATATATTTATTATATGTGCCATGGTATGAGCTTGAGTCTCAGGACCATGGTTAGGGTGCGTATATTGCCTAGGATGGATAGCTGGACAGAGGTGTTGTTCCCTGGTAGGTCTAAATACACATAACCACAGTATGTGCGATTTGCATGGTATCTCTATTCAGGCTGAGATAGACCTTTTTGGACTAGTGAGCGTCCTATAGTGTGTACTTATACATATATGGACTACTCTAGATATTGTTGAGTCTTTCTAGTATGTATCTGCGTATCGGATTCCTGTTTGGATTGTAGTAGATCAAGACTTGCATGTGGGCCTGACCCACCCTTATATTTTTCAGGTACTCGTCAGTTCCAGGGTTAGAGTTTGATCGTGCAGAGCAGATACAGACTTCTATTCTACCGACAACGTAGGACTTCTTTCCAGATATTAGATTTGGATTTTATCTTCAGTTTTCTTCCATGCAGTTTGGGATTTTATTAGGGGTCCACTAGAGATGGATTCCCGAGTTGTTAAACTTATGGAGTTTGGATTGTCAAGGTTTAAATATTTATATTTGAGGATTTATTTTAGTTTCTTTCAGCTTTAATTTCATTTCTTAATTCATTTTGTATTCCGTGTTCATTATAAATACTTTAATTGTTTGATATTCCCTCGGGCTCGGGCCTGGGCCTGATCAACCCGTGTCTCAGATCCGAGGGGTATTACAGTAGGTCACTTGCAAACAAGGCCATCCGACAAGGATACTATTGGCCCACCATGCAGAAAGATGCACTTGACTTCGTTAAAAAGTGCGACAAGTGTCAACGATTTGCCAACATCCCGAGACAACCGTCAGAGGAGATGAATCCCATGTCAGGACCATGGCCATTTGCTCAATGGGGAATGAACTTGATTGGCCCTCTCGTCAAAGGCAAAGGGCAGACTAAGTATGCCATTATTATGGTTGATTACTTCACTAAATGGGTAGAAACTAAGCCTCTGGCCAAGATCACAGAGAACAATATAAGGAAGTTCGTATGGAAATCAATAGTTTGCAGATTTGGGATTCCTAGAGTGATTGTCACAGACAATGCAAAACAGTTCAATAACTCTGACTTCAAAAATTTTTGTTCCGAGCTCGGGATTCAAATTCATTTCTCATCGCCAGGACATCCCCAGGCGAATGGACAGGCCGAAGTCACTAACAAAACAATCCTTCAGATGATCAAGACTAGACTTTATGCTGCAAAGGGACTGTGGCCTGAGCAGCTGCCGAGTGTACTGTGGGCTTACCGTACTACTGCAAGGACTCCTACAAGGGAAACCCCTTTTCTTTTAGCGTTTGGAAATGAGGCAGTAGTACCTGTAGAGATTGGCCTAACAAGCTTTAGGACGGAGCACTACAGCCCAAGCAGAACGAAAGGGAGTTGGAAGTAAGCTTGGACCTAATCGAAGAAAGGAGATACCTAGCCCAGATTAGGATGGCTACCTATCAACAGAAGGTTTCCAAGTATTACAATGCTCGGGTCAAGCCTAGGAGGTTCTCAGTAGGAGATTTGTTACTCAGGCAACTAAGGATTCAACCATAGGGAAGGGCCTTACAAAGTTACGCGATGTCAGCGACCAGGAACATACTGGTTGGAGGACTTAAAGGGAAAGCCACTGCCTCACCCATGGAATGTTGAGCATCTAAAGAAATATTATCAGTAAATAATTTTAGTTTAGTCTCAATTTATTATTTATTTTTGCTAATACTTCTAGTTGCAATAATTACTTCATTCTCTACGAATGAATGTCTTCAATAGCCTTGTTATCAACTTTGGCTTTAATAAAGTATTCCCTACTTGGATCAGTTGTTTCAAATAATTCATTATCATTTTGATATGTTAAGATATTCATGTTAAATGGGTGAGCTGGGTGAAGCTCATAATAATCTACTTCCCTTGTTAAAGGGTGAGCTGGGTGAAGCTCATAGCAATCTACTTCCCTTGTTAAAGGGTGAGCTGGGTGAAGCTCATAATAATCTACTTCCCTTGTTAAAGGGTGAGCTGGGTGAAGCTCATAGTAATCTACTTCCCTTGTTAAAAGGTGAGCTGGGTGAACCTCATAGCAATCTACTTCCCTTGTTAAAGGGTGAGCTGAGTGAAGCTCATAGTAATCTACTTCCCTTGTTAAAGGGGGAGCTGAGTGAAGCTCGTATACATCTACTTACCTCATTACATAGACGAGCTGAGTAAAACTCGTCTTAATCTATTTTCCTTATCAAAGGGTTGAGCCGACCAAAGATGTCAATAAAATAACATAATGCGGCAGTCGCAATGGCAAAACATAACTGTTCTTCCTACTTATCAACCCTACAAATATAAATGGAAACTGATTGTAAAGAAAGAGAAGTTTCAAGCACAAAGAGAAACATGGGAGCAAATAAATTAATGGCTACACATCTATCCTATTCGGAATCACTCGCTTCATCTAGTTGAATGACAGAGAAGTCTTGGTCTGCAAATTTAAAAGTAGCACGATTCCGAAAATCTTCGAAGCCGTCAAAGTAGGCCTTAGACATAATCTCCTTGAAGGTGGGTGAGGCTTTAAACTCACCTACTGCATTGGCTCTTTCCACCATTAGTTTCTGGGACATCTCCTTGTTGAGTTTTTGCACATAAGATGCATGACAAGCTCGTTCTGTTTCTAACTCAGCACTCATTGCTTGTAGAGCGACCTCATGTTTATCACGTTCCACTTGTAAATCGGCTTAGTATTGGGAGCGAGTAGAAGCCAACATATTGGTGTAATGCTCTCCTCCTTTTACAGCTAGACACGACAAGTAATACGCGTGTGTATTCACCTGTACGCACGTGGGAATAATAATTTACAATGAAGAGGAAAAGAAAAGCTAAATAAAAACAGAGGATGGTGCGAGAGTTAACCCGTGCAAGATCATGCATGAGTCGGTCTACAATCTCAGTTGGAGGGCGTTAATTCAGATCCATCATATCCTCCTTCGACAAAGACTCGCTTATCTTCTTAAAAGCAAGTTGAGCATTGCCTAGAACAGATGCTGCTGAAGAGTAGGGATCTGAGGGGAGTACCGCTGCTTCAGTAAGGAGTGGCATAGTCCCATCCACAAGCTGATGAGGGAATTGCTAGTCGGATTCGTGTGGAGAAACAACTGAAACAGGTAAGACCCTTTGTGCTATAATAGTAGGCTTCTTTTTTTTCCTCTTGGCGGGGAAAGTAGGTGGGAAGTCACTTGAGCCTTCTTTGAACTGAGCTAGAAGCCTCTTATTAAGTTTTCGGGATATAGTTACAGAGGACTTGCCAACTGGCTGAGGACCAATCCCATGGGTAAACAAAGTCTGAGGTGTCACGAGTGAAGACCAGTCCCTCACTGGGTAGTTAAAGGCTTCCTTTATTCGCTGGAGATCATCGGATGAAACGGCAATCTCTTTAACGCCTGAAAGAACAACAACTCTGTTAATAACTCAAACAAAATTTACTTTGAGTTTTAAAACATAAGAGGGTATCATTATGGATAACTCACCGGTGGAATTCTGATTACACCACGCACGAGGAATGGAAGTCCCTATTCGTAGGAAAGCACTTTCTTCAGGAAAGAACTCCCAGCCATCACTAGAAACGAAAAAGAAACTGCTTTTCCATGGTTTGTGCTTAAGGGGAATTCCAGAGATAAGAATTCTGTCCCGTGGGGAGAAGTACAGCCAGTCACCCCTTTTGGGAATGTAGCAATGAAGAAACTCTTGGATAGTGAGCGAGGTATTACAACAAGCTCGCCACAGAACTAAATAACCCATCATTGTTTTCCAGGCATTCGGGGAGAGTTGAGTCGGAGCAAGATT